GAGCCTTTCAGTTACCTTTGAAAATCGGGCAGATTTTCCTCCATATTGAAATGCATCCGTTTCGGTGGTACTGGCCCAGCGCAAGCTCCATGTAGAAGAGTGGAATGCCCCCAAAGATGGCCATGATGGTGTAGGGGAGGAGGAATGCCCCTGAGGCAGATGAAAGACAATTTTACTCCTGCCCACATCTGAGCCAGGACGGCCCAACTGATCTGCACGCCAGGGGCCACCCCGAGAATCCCAGAGCCATCTGGTGCTCGGGCGTCACGAAGCCACCTTATACCGAGTGTGCGCACACTGTGCTCACACCCCGAGGACTTCCTCCCCTACAAAATCACAGGGTTGAGGAGAGCCAGCCATCATAATCACTTGCGGGCTTAAAAACACATACCCACCCAGACTTCCTGAAGCCAAAGCTCCAGGTATGGGAACAACAACAAAAATGGGAAGCTCTCCAGGTGACTGATGTCACCAGTACAGGGGCCAGCATTGGGGACTTTTGGAACGAAACTCCTGTGACAACCTGTAGACTCTATAGAACAGCTACTGAATTAGTATCTTTATCAATATTACCCCTGACCCCGTACAGTTGATTACTGATATTTAGCTATTTTCCATAATTCCATTGAATTATGAGCCAGAATGCTCCCTCCTGAGTCACTTCTCGGGTGTGCCTGAGAAGGGAAGTTTGTCACAGACTGAGAGAGGGTGGAGCTTCTGCATCTCTGGCGATGCCGGTCTCTCCTGGCTCTTGTGGCTGAGGCAGAACGTGGAAATGCCAAGTTAAGGATTGCTCACCTGTAGCCTGAGTTTTATTTTTATTTTATTATTATTTTTAAATATGTCTATTGATTTCAGAGAGAGGAAGAGAGAGGGAGGGAGAGAGAGAGAAACATCAATGATGAGTCATTGATCAGCTAGCGGCCTTGCACGCCTCCTACTGGGGATCGAGCCCGAAACCCGGGCATGTGCCCTGACAGGGAATGGAGCCATGATCTCCTGGATCCTAGGTCGATGCTCAACCCCTGAGCCACACCAGCCGGGCTACAGCCTGAGTTTTAGCCCAAAGGATGGGTCGGCTTGTCTTTCCCAGAAAACTTTCCCTCACATAAAATGCTTTGACCCTAGAAACCTGAAGTCAGTGCTGCTCAGAAAGGTCCCACCTAATTTACAATCACTCTGGGGAAATCTGGATTGAGAATAAGAACCGCGTTGTGTTCTCTTGGTGGCATTTGCCTAAAGGGTTTGCTTGCCTGGCTTCGCCGTAGGGAATGAGTGCAGGGGAAATTGCACCCAGTGACCCAGCCCCTTAACTAATGCTCGGGCTAAGGGTGAGTCCTCCCAAGCTGGAGATAAGGTGCTTCCAGTCTCTGCTCTTCCCAGGCCCGGATTGCTGGGTTCTCCCGTCCCCAGAACAGGAATTGCCTCTGCAGCTGCATGGACCATGGCCCTTAAAAGCAGCAAAGACAGGCAGCTCTGTGTCAGGCCAGGGACACAAATTAATTACCTCCCAACCCTCATTCTAGCTCCCCTCCCAAACTTTTTGCAGAGCTCCTGTCGAAATAAATATTGACTGATTTGCCTCCCATCACTTGTCCTTTCCTATTCTGAGAGCAAGCCCAGTGTGTCAGCACAGAGGCCCCAGCCAACTCACTCCTCTCTGGGGATCCCACATCCATGCCCACAGGCAGCTACTAATTTTTCATAATCAATAAGTTAACTGCTCTGGAGCCCTTGGGGGTAGAAGAAGGAACAAGAACTAGTCTCTGGCCTCAAAAAATCTAACCCTCTTGTCGGAGATACACGCACAGTTTGGGGTCAGCATTAACGTCATGCTGTGGCTGGGTTCAGCTCTAGATCATGCCCGGAATATAACTTAGGACTCGGGACCTGAGTTGACACCCTTCTCTGATCTCACCCAGGTCCAAAGGCCCAGAAGGGTCTGGACCCTGGGGCTACCTCCCAATTTTCCCCTAGACAGATCTCCCCTCTCTGGACTCCTCTGAGCAAGAGTGAAGGAGCTCGGCACAGGGCTACTGGTCATGCCCACATCTCGCTCGCTGTGTGGAGTGGGGCTTGGATAATGCAGGGATGGGGAGGGGCCCTTCAACAAATGCGACACTAATAGTGCTGAAATCTGCTAAGATCCGGCGAGGGAGATTTTGTCCTAATTCATAACCCAGACAGCCTCAGACATGCACTTCAAGAGTGCTGGCTTACTGGGGACTTATCTTTTAGATAAGCTTCTAAGTCTAACCAGTCACGTTCCCAGACTCACGTAGTTAAACAAGACAGAAAAGATTGCTCATGGCCCATCATACTGACCCCCTCCATTCTGGTAACAAATGTAGGGAAAGCGCCAGACATTGCCCAGGTCCACAGCATAGCCAATGACCGACAGGAGGAAATCCATCTTCTTGCTCCAGGTCTCCCGTCCCCCTTGGTGAACCTCCGCCACTAGGGCGGTGGTGGCAGCCGGGGTGGAGTGCTGAGTGTCATCTCCTGCACTGGGGCTCGGTACCGCTGAGTACCCATTGGTGATCTGGCTGGACTCCACTTTCTCCCCAGAGGCAGGGACACCCTTCCGTAGAACTCCATTTTCCTGACAGTCTTCTCCATCCTTATACTCTGACAGCTCCTTCTGGGAGTTTAAGGGCGTGGTCTCCATCCTGCTGTCTAGTAGATGATACTGACGCCCATCTGCAGAGAACCTGAACTGAATTCTTGGTGCACGGTCTGTGGGGGTTCCTCAGGGCTTTATATTAATGGGATTGAGGGCTCTGTTGGAAAGGAACAGAGAGAAAGGAGAACAGAATTAGGCATTTTACTTGGCTTTGGTATTAACTCATCATGCCTTTTTTATCTTAATCCCCTCACCTTTTTCACCCAGTCCCCCCAACTCCCCACCCCTCTGACAGCTGTCAGTCTGTTCTCTGTATCTATGAGTCTGTTTCTATTTTGTTTGTTAGTTTATTTTGTTCATTAGAGTCCATAAGTGAAACCATATGGTATTTATCTTTCTCTGACTGGCTTATTTCACTTAGCATAATACTCTCCAGGTGCATTCATGCTGTTGCAAAAGGCAAAATTTCCTTCCTTTTATACAGTCGAGTAGTATTCCACTGTGTAGATGTACCACAGCTTTTTTGTCCACTCATCTACTGATGGGCACCTGGGCTACTACCAAATCTTGGTTGTTGTAAATAATGATGCAATGAACACAGGGGTGCATATATTCTTTCGAATTAGTGTTCCAGGTTTCTTTGGATATATTCCAGAAGTGAAATCACTGGGTCGTAAGGCAGTTCCATATTTATTATTATTATTATTTTAATCATCACTGGAGGACATGCTTAGAGATAGGAAGGGAGAAAGAGAGAGAGAGAGAAACATCAATCGGTTGCCTTCCATACGTGCCCTGACAGGGGATCAAACCCGCAACCCAGGTATGTGCCCTGAAGAGAATCAATGTGGCAACCTTTCGGTGCACTGGGCAACATTTCAACCGAGTCAATCTGGTGGGGCAAGGCAGCTCCATTTTTAATTATTTGTGGTAACTCCATACTGCCTGCCAAGATCTCCCTTGTGAAGCTAATTGGATCCTGCTCTGATGTCAAAAGCTGGCCACTGGGTGTGTTGCTTCTTGAGCCTCTTGGAAAGGATTCTGATGCCAGCCAATGTCAGACGCTGTCTGTGACTGGTCCTGGGCAACCTGTTTGGAGCTACAAAGCAATTCACAGTTTGAGGCTGCCTCTGCTGGGCTTGGGTGTGTGCAAGAAGGACCAAGCTGTGTTTTTACCAGGACTGGGCCCAATGGCAGGTCAGCAAAAGTCCCAAGGCACCCTGGGATCCACTTTAGCCTCCCTCCGCCTGCCAGCTGCCAGTTAGACTCAGCCACTGAAAGAACCCCTGTGGGTATTCAAGTGCATAAGATAGGTTCTCAGTGAGCACCAGGTAGGGGCAAATGGTGTTCACCAGATTGATATAGGTTCAAACTCTGTGCCAGTGCTTGGCCACTCAACAAATATCCCAGGGTATACCAAGTCTAGCTGCCACCTGTTGGGTGCCTGCACACCTTTGTGGTGGGGTGGAGTCTAAAGGTGTCATTAGGGTGAGGCCAGCAGAGTTTATTAGGCCCAAGCATACCAAGACTTAGCCATATGAAAGGAGGGCTCTGCACCACTTGGGCGTGTGGGGAGAAATGGCCCCCATCTTAGAGCCACATAACTCAGTCTGACTCACATCCTTCCAGGAGCCCAATCTAAGCAAGGCAGGACCACTGGGAGTAAGGAGAATGAGGTTAGTGGGATCTCCCATAAGGGGGATGTGTCAGTCAGGCTTGGGGAAGGGGGAAGGTAGGGTGACTGGTCCCTGCCCCAAAGCCACACAACTGAGTCTGTCCTAGATTCTTCCCAGACCTCCTGAGGATCCTGAGCTTGGCAGGGTAGGGCCACCAGGATTCAGGAGGATGGGGCCGGGGGATCCTGGAGAGTGGAGCTAGCAGATCTCCCATAAGTGGGAGACACCAGTCAGGTTCATAGAAAAGTGGGGGGAATGGCCCCCACCCCAAAGCTACACAACTCAGTCACTGACATCCCCTGAGTCTGTCTAAACCTCTACACTCTGCCCCAGGTAGCTGACTCCTCAGTAGGGTGCAAGCTCTGCAGTGTGGGGCTACAGGGAATACAGAGGGTTGGGCTATTGCATTTCCCCAGGCTGATGCTGTATGGAGGGGAGTGCTCCACCCAAGAAAGATGGTGTCTGTGGTGTAGGAGAGGATCTCAGCACAGGGATCCTCACAGCTGTCCCTTCAGCTCTCTCCCCAGAGCCATAAGCCCCAGTTGCACCTCTCATGACTCTAGTCCGCTCCTCCCTCCCTCCACCAGAGCTTAGGGTGAGTCGCTGCAAATGAGATTTTGTCTGTTGGCCCATTAAGAGTGTGCCTGTGTCTTTAGCAGGCTCCTGTCTCTCCCTGGTAGACAGAATTCTCGCTGATTTTCACAGCCAGATGTTATGTGGGTGCCTCTTCCTGGCCCTGGTGCTCTGGGCTGGGGAGCTCGGCTTGCGGTTGAGACCCCACGCTCCTCGGGGGGAACATCTGCAGCTGAGAATCCCTCTGGAACCTCAGCCATCGCCCATGGGAGCGAGGCCAGCCCTTGCTGCATCTCCGCCCTTCCTACCAGTCTAGATGTGGCTTCTGTGAATCCTTGATTATAAGACTTCTGTTCAGCTAGTCTTCAGTTGGTTATTAAGGCTGAATGTTCTATGTTTCAGTTGTAATTCCAGGTTGGTCCTGGGAGGAGGTGAGTGTGACGTCCACCTACTCCACTGCCATCCTGGATCTGCTCACCATACATCTTAAACTACACTAGTTAATGGGGTGACAAATGCATCTGTTAAATGTGAGACAGCCTATTTTCTATATGAGAATCAACTGCATTTTTCAACCTATGCAAGGCATCAAATCACAGTCAAGCAACTTGAAAAGGAAAAAACATAACAAATAAAAATTGACAGTGAATCGCCAAGGTCCTGGCAGGCTCTATTTAAGGACAAAGTATTGGCTTTACTTTGGGACTGGACTCTCACGCTGGAGTTTACCAGTAACTCAGAAGAACATAAGAAGAGGGCTCACACTTCAACAAAGCTCCGGAGGACAGGCCTTGTCCTGGATGCTGCGCCAGGAAAAGAGTAACAAATACAGAGACGGTTCCCGCCTGCAAGTAGGTAAGGACAGTCCTCTCCATCATTTAAGCTGAACACTCAAAGCATACTTCATGTAAACGATAGATGTGACTGAAAGAGATAAAGAGCATAGGACAGAGGCGAGAAGGCCGCCTTCTGTGAAGCACCCCAGCCCCCGAGCCGTGGAGTGTTCACTCTCCCTGCTGCCCAGCTCAGAGGAGCCTTTGGGCAGCTTCTAGCTGCTTCTGGCTGCGTTCGGTGCATCTGTGCTTCTTTCTATGTTCCCATCATGTCTCTGCAAGTCCTGTCGGGCCTTACACGGCGCTGCTGCTCCCCACTCATTCTTCTTGCCACTCTCAGCAACTCCTGTGGCTAATCCACTTGTTACTTTGCAACAGTGGGCAGTGGAGGCACCTCTCATCCGCGCCAGCAGAGCCAGGGAAGGGAATTCGGCAGTTACAGATGCCAGCATGGCTGGTATCTCTGTCCCTACCCATCGTGGTGGGGAGGACTGGGCCAGGGACCCCAAACCTTGGCCCAGTGGACTGGGATGCCCGGAAGTCAGTTCAACTCTCTCTCCTCTGGACTGATGTCTGAGACCTTTTGGACTTTGAACCTATGGCCTGTTATGAAGTAGTTAGCAACCAAAACCTTCCAGCTAACTTCATTTCTTCTGGGCCTGAACTTTTCAAACTCTGGAGGCAGTTTGGGATTTGAAGCATGTTTCTGCTTAGCTCGGATCACATACCCTTCTAGCAAAAGACATCCAGGGATGACTGCCACCCCTATCTGTAACTGCAAAGATTTATCCTGATCTTGCAAAGCCAATGCTCAGAGGATGGCTAGGTATTGGTAGCTAATAAATGTGCCAGTGCACGTGCCTTGGCTACTTTGGGCTTCTAGTAAATATAACTTACCTATCCACACATGGGAACGTAAAGACAAAGCCATAATGGGTTAAAAATTAGAACACAAAGTAGTAGATTCACACTGATGACTATGTTAAATATTGGCAAGGATTAGACATGAACACCCAGGGAGACAAGAAATTGGAGTTTTATGTTTGTTGGGTTCTTTTTTCTGTGCAGTAGAAAGTAAAAATTTTAAAGGAATTGATTGTTGCAAAAATATTAGAGCAACAAGAGAGAAACGAGCTCTATGAAGCCAGTGTGTGCGTGCGTGTGTGTGTGTGTGTGTGTTTAAGGGGGTCGGGTAGGTGTCCTGGGTTCTATCTTATCTCATTTGGCCCCCATCCCTGACCTGATCCTGGGCTAGGATACAAACACCACTCATAAAAGAATACAAATTTCTGACAAAGAATTATATAGATAAAACCCCATTCTTCTCATGTTTATGGTGCTGTCCAGCCCCTCCCTGTCCCTCCTTCCCGGGGACCTCAACTAGACTTGATGAACTTTTAAAATAACCACACATCCTCTCATTCACCGTAACTAACTATAAGGCCAAGGAATCTTTTTTTTTAGTTCATTTCTTTAGAGAGAGATGATGAGATGTCAATATATTTAAATATGCAGCTAACTTCACCCTGAGCTTGGCGGTCCCTGGCTGTGTTGTTTGAAGAAGGCCTCGGCACTCCTCTCTGGCCTATATCAACAACACTCTTTCCACATTAAACACCGAAGAACTGGAAGACCAGATGGCAGAGATAAAGAGCTTACGAAGGTGACGTGCAGCCAGATGGCACTCAGTGACAGAGCCTGCCCCCGACTGAGGCGCCCCTTGCCTGATCTTTCTTTCTCTACCTTCAAAATTTTACTCAAAAATTTCTTCGTCCTATCTTTCCTCTCATCTAAACTGAAGCTCAAAGAGCAAAGCATCACCCGACCTTTCTCCGGCGGGTGCACCAGGGTCGATGGAAGGGAAACATCGTCCATCTCCGAGGATACAGTGTAGAGGAATGAACATTTAGCCACACCAGTGATTCCTCGCCTCCCTGCCACAGGTGTCAAGTGGTTTGTTCTAGATTTCATTCACTTTCTCCCTCGGGGCCCCCTGCAGGGAGGTTGGAAAATGTGTGTGTTCGTGAACTTTTGGGGGACAATGTGTGTTCATTAGGGCCCTAGGGGCTCAG